AAATAAGTGCAAATGATGCAAATCCCTTGTTTCAGCAATGCAGTCTGTTTTCTAACTTTTCTAATAAAGTCTTAATCATTGTGAGAAACACTGAATGACATAGTTGTCACTATTACTATTACATAGTTGTTACTATCTGCTTATCTTTGCCTTCCAGAAGGAAACTCGGGCATAGTGCCTCAGCTTCAGTAAATCACCTCAACCCACTAATCTGAGTTAACTAGTTGATTTCAATCAGCAGAACTATTTCTTGAAAGAAGTGTCATTTCTATATGATATTTGAAGTCACTTTTCTCTTTCTTCCTTTGCCATTTTTCACAACCACTCCAGCTGGGGAACAATCTTCCTTACAGGACTCAGTGATCCTTTCCTACAATTTGATATCTTCCACCACTACCAGAAATACCTGTTTTTATTTTATTCTCACAAGCTGTCATTTTTATTGAATAACATCACCTTTGATATCCACAATAAATACAAACCTGTGTTTTGAACACAGGAAAAACCCCACATTTAACAAAATCTGGCACAAAAGTCACTTTTCTGACTGCCTTTGGCCAGCTTGCAGCTCCCAGTTAGAATTTACTCCCACTGAGAATAATGATAGAAATCTTTTTCAAGCCTGACTTGAAAAATAATAAAAATCAGCTTCTTCTTTTTCACAATACACTAGTAAATCTGAAACACTTTTGAGGGCTTTGGGGCATCCTTTTTACATTAGGAAATTAGATTTTTGTCACTGAGTCTACCATGTTTGAAAGATTATTAATTTTAAGGGGAAAACCTAGAAAACTAAAGACACGGTTATCATGCTTTTGCAGAAGTAGTAATCCTCTTTTAATACCTGGAAAAAACCCCAAAAGACCAAGTTCTTCTGGAGGTCCCTACAGAGCACCAGAATTTGAGCTTTAAACATGCTTCTGTCTGACAATAGAAGTAGCTGGTTTAGGTTCAGGTTTGTTATATTAGGTGATATTTAATTAAAGTCAGCCATACTCACAGAAAAAAATCTTGTTTTGCTCTTAATGCATTCCTTCCATACTGGTCTTTGTTCCAGATACTATGACTGATAGTTATTGGTTCAAACACACTTGAAATTTTATGCTTTCCATAAAATGTCATTATTTCCTATTAAGGTGATTATCTTGTGCATCTCACTAATCTTTTGATGTATTCAAGATCTATCAGCAAAGCTGCCCAACTGTCATCTTCCATGCACTTCTAGGATTTCTTCTGTTTGTAGCAACTTATTTTCTTAAGCAAATATAAAACCTGTAAAGTCATTGCATGAGTTATGGATTTTAAGTAATGAGTTATGATTTAATCATGAGTTATGATTTTGAGACTCATGACTGCTTCTCTCAAATCCTGAGAAAGCATATTTACATTCTAACCTTGAAAATCAGTATTCTCAAAAAAGAACTATATTAAAGACACTTTTAAAAGAGAACAACGGTAATAGAGTTGATGAAGTAATTAGTACCTTCTATTAGTAATTAGTTCCTTCTTTGCACATTGTTTAGAAGTGAGGTCAGAAGAGCCACAGACAAAGACAAATGAGACAACAAGATTATGAAGGACACTGAAAAAAATGAGCCAAGTTTGTTCGACAAGACAAAGTCTGATGTGTAATTCAGAGTGATTTCCCCTAGAAGGCTGACTGCTTACCACACAGAGTCATGGCATGTGCAGCCCTACATCTGGACAAATAATGAGTCTAAATAGTCTAAGGTGTACTTAGGGTATACATTGGACTTTTTAGGGATTTTCTCTACATGTGTTTGTATTTCATGTAACAGGATAGCTACCTCACACGTGGTTCAGGTAAGAGCTGGAGAAGAAATAAATGTTGGGAAGCAGCCTGCCTTGCCCAGCCTGCAGAAATCACACATGGTTTGCTGCTGTGAGGTACTGCTAACAGTAAAAATTGTTTTTTACTGAGGACACAGTGCCTCAGATGCAGAGGGCTGGGCATAGGAAGACTGTGCAGGAGCAGCATGATGTGCTGTGGGGGTTGGATGCTCTCTGTCAGGCACCATCTCCAGCCCAGACTGCAGCCAGGACAGTCTGGTCAGAGTGGCTCTGCACTGCTCCCTTCACAGTCCAGCAGAAGATACCCAAAAGTGGCCTCTCCACTGGAAGAAAAAAAATTAAAAATTGCCTATAGATTACTGGATGATTCTGTTGAATAAGTAATATTCTTCCAATTTTAAGGCAATTTAGTGGCTACTTAACTTTCTTTAAAAAAGAGAATATTGCTGACCTTTCCTTTTTGATATATGAGCTCCCTGGCCATGTCTGGGCTTCATAAAATTTAAGTGCACTAGGGACCTCATTATTTTATTACATTTCAGCACTGGTGACTCAAGAATGTGATTTTTCAAGTTATGCAATCTGTGAGAACAAAATCTTCATCTTAGGGAAGGAAAGAATATAGAGAGCAGTTTAACCACACACTTCCAAAGAACCTATTTGAAAATGTTTTGCTTTTTCAAAAGGTCTGTGGTTTTTTCTGAGTTTTCACTCTACAAACTAATGTAGATTATGTCAAGCTAATTTTATGTTGACATGCTCAGTAGAATGCATCTTTTAATATATATTCATTAAGGATACATTGAAAATTTCCTTCTTATAGAGGTAGATGAGATAGCTTCATCTTAAGTACTGAATATATTTATTCTAAAAATGTGGGGAAAAACAGACTGAACTTAAAATAGGCTTTGGCTCTGCACAGAAAAAAATGAGGAAGTAGCAGGGGAGGGATTTGTCTCTATTGAAAACTTTTTTATTAATTATCTTCATGAATATAAATTAGTATTCAGAATGTAATTAAAATAAAATACCTGCAATAGCATTCAGTTGTTATTCTTGGCATTCCTCTCATGCACTCCTGCTAAAGCACAGGAGGAGAGAAAAAGCACTAGCCTTTAGAGGTGGTAGATTAAAATGCTGAAGAATTATCCTTAGATCAAGACTGGAAGCAAAAGTAAGGAATTTTTTTAAGGTTTGTGTGTGTGTTTGTGTGTGTGTGTGTGTATCTGAAAGCTTCTTGAAAATTACCAAAATTTTGGGTTCACACAAAACCTTGCAATGATATTTCTTGAAAAACCGTTGCTTTCATTCATTCCTCATTTGCAAATGAACAAGACTGTTTATTGCAACAAATCCAGCATGTACCATTGTTTTCATTCCTTCAGGCTGCTCCCCTCATTTTCCCTGAGTGCAAATTATGTTCACAAAACCCATATTTATTCAGTTAACATTAGGTACTGCCTAAGATTGTTGATAACTCTTGCAGTGTTTACTGTCTGATTTCCTGCTCCATTGCACATGAGAAGCAGCAATAACTTTTAAGTCGATGAGCCAGCACAGATGATGTGGACTATTCGGTATTAAAGTGTTGTTTAAAAACATCCCCAGAGCAAATACTACAAGTAATGTGATTTTTTTTTCCTTTTTTAATGCTGTGATTGCTCCCAAATTATGTGGCCAATGCTGAATATAAAAACTTTTACAGAGATTAATTTCTCTACGTTTACTGCCACCAACTTTTTTCAGGGTATTAGATAATTTTCACATCTAAAATTTCAGATTTTAGGATGAAATCACATAAAAGTGATTGAAAACAATAATGAAAACAATAATTTACTATTAAAATTTGTGCAATTACAAGAGAGTTCAGACGTTGAACTCTAACTGTACAAAAATTTGTTTTAAATTTAGTAGATGCCAGCAAATTCTGTAAGATGTTCTGACACATTTTTATTTCATTTCCATGATTATACTTTTGAATAAGAGACTAATATAATTTGCTAACCTTAATTTCTGTTTTAATGTTTGTTTTGAAAAATATATCCTGCCATGAGATAATTGGATATATTTTTAAATAACAGAATTAAGGAAAAAAATCTAAGCAATGTTGTTTGGTGTGTAAAACCCCAGACTTGATTAAAGAAGAGACAGAGGAGCCCATTCAGTGTCTTCCATCTGTCACTGATTCTGCACCTGCCATTGGCAGACTCAGGAGTATTGCTGAAAGAGGCTCTGTCATATTTCAAACAGCAGGAATCTTCTGGCATTTGGCCATGGACTCACCTTCACAATGCCTGAAAATCCACATGTGGTCCTACTGCCAAGATGCCTCTGCCCACCCCTCTCACTCCAGAGTAGGGGGAAGATTGAGAAGCCTTTTTATATCTTGTAGCTAACAGCTGCTGAATGGAAGATACCAAACTGGTATTCAGTATTGTACAAATATCCAGAAGGAAAACCCTGGTAATGCTAGACAGTAGAAAAATAGTTGAGCTGAAAAAAATACTGGAAAAACTACTTTGTTTTTTTCCAAAATAGAAAGTGCCATGCAGAATATCTTTTCTGTTAAACATAATCTTGCTGCTTGTATAAGAACATCTGCAAAGATTTTACTTTGGGCAGAGAGAAGCTCACTTGCTGAACTGATCTTTGACACCACATTCCTGTGTTAAGAAATCTTGTGCTTAGCACTTCTACAGAACTGGGAGAGTATAAGCTTCATCAAATACTGAAAAATCCTCGACTTAGACTGAAACTTCATGTTCTTCCCTTTGCATTTGAGAACTTGGTACAATTTTCTTTGCAAGAATGATATTTCAAGTCAGGAAATTTTAAAGCAATTACAAAAATTATGTTCATCACCAGACTCTGCCTGACAAATGAGTGTGACTGCAGTGACCTCCTCAGCTTCTCCCAGATGCTGTCTTTCTCACCACCAGTGCCATTAATCAAAGATGTGACGCACATATCTCCGTACAAAACTGGAAATGAGTCAGCCACTATAGATCTCTGTGACTTCTTGCAGATGCTCAGGCACCACTGAGTCGTGACTTGAGCAACCAACTGCTTCAAAGCAGCATAGTATTTGAAGTATTCTTTCCCAGAAAAAATCTGCAGGAACCTTGTTCCTAGTTTAGTTCTGTTACATAACACGATGTGCTGGGTGCCACATATCTATGCTGCACATAGATACTGCAAGGATGGAAATATGAATATGTGATTTTCCCCTTCCTTTTCCAAATATTTCCAGCTGAGAGCATCATATATGTATGTTTTGTACATCTCTGCCCATGAGCATTTCAAGCTTTCATTAACCTGAATCTCACTGTGGTAAGTTTTTATCTTTCAGCATTTTCAATAAAAGCAGATATGTTGTTTATAAAGAAATTGAACAACTGGTCTTTATGGTAAGAGCACATAAAGACCTTAATTGATTTAGTGGTCATTAATAATTAATTGACTGTCAGAAATTTTAATGTAAAAAGTGTTATTAGAGCCTGAAATGTTATTCTCAGCCAGCTTCAGCAATCTAACAGTTAAGCTTCCAGTCCAAGGTAGGCATTCAGGATTCTTCCACAATCAAAGGTGAGACATCCTACAGAAATTCTGTGATAAGCCAGTCACTAATTTCATTAATTTTTTAAATTAAAATAAATGCCCTTGGATTTGGTTCTCTCCGTTGATTTGCTTTATCAATTAGCTACTCAACTTTTGGATACCTAAACTTATTTGCCATGAATCCTAACTTTAAAATTATAGCATACTCAGCAAATTATATTCTTAAAAAAGGGGTTTTCCTTGTTTCAGTTTTTTCTGCTAAGACGTCCCCATTAAACATTTAGTCCTGTTGCTTTAATATAAAGCAGCCTTAGATAGATAGCAAAATCATGGGTTTAAAAAGCCTGCTGGCAAAATTTTTTTTTTCTTTTTACTCAATGAACAGACATTTCCCAGTTGAGAGTAGCCCTGTATTAAACATCAAATACGTATTTCTGCTCTGAAAAAAAAAGAGTAGTACCATTCTCTTCACATGTTTCAATTATCTATCTGGTGGCAAAGATAGTAAATGTTCAATTTACTGTTACTTTAGATTGACAGGAAGCACAGATCTTCAGGGCTCCCTGAGGTTATACAATGTCCAATGTTCACTTTCACTGAAGTGACTGAAAATATTGGTCTTCTCAATACATCTCTTTGCAAATAGATTTGTTCAAATCTGTATGTGTTTCTAGTCATCTTTTGCTGATCTTCCTGACTGATCCTATGCAAACCAGGAACAAATCTGTATGATCACAAGGAAAACAGCTAAGATTGCTTGTGACTGCCTTAACTACTGACAATGCAATAACAGCCACATGTTAATTAAGAGTCTGTTCACCCTTAGTATTTGTTTCAGTGCTTTACCAATGCTGCAGTAAATATTTCTACTGGAATTAATGCAAGACTAATCAATTTTTTTAAACCTTGATGGAAAAAGTATGCTTTAACAAACTAAACTGTGTCTTTAAGATTACTGACTAGTCAATAAAACCTGATTCTCTATGCAGTAATAAAAGCATTCTTTCTTACCAAAGACCAAAGCCATGCAATGATATGTAGGAAGGGGTATGTTCCTTTTTTAAGAAAGAGCAAATCAAATAAAAGAAATGAAACACTGGGCTTCAGCATAAGGAGGCTGTGCTTGAGGATAATAATTTGTTTTGTGAGTTCAAGTCTCCTAGGCTGTCTTAATTAAGACACCATCTTGGCATACAATGAATAAAGTAATTCAGGCTAAAAATATAAAGAAGGCTCCTTAACCACTTATACTCATGAACAAGACTTTCCACAGAAATAGCAATTGGGAGCTACCGATGTCACCCATTTAAATTTGATCTAGTTAGGTTTATGGAGCAGTATCTATGAGACAGCTGTTAGAAATAGCAGGGGACTTGATCTAATGACTCTGCTAACCTCTGCTCCTTGTACTTACCTTTTGAAAACATCAGATTTTCCTTACTTCCATGTGTTAGGTATTTCGTGTTGCAAAAAGATCAATAAACAATGACTACCCTGTTATGTGCAGGGAAGTCTTTTATTTCATGGCATGAAATTCTGCCAACTTAAGGTCCAAACTAACACAATACACTGTTATTAAAATATCCTCCATATCTAATATTTTCTCCATGGATACATAGCAGTCAGGCTGCATTCCACAGCCTCCATTTTACCTATAGTATTTTTTGTTTGTTTTCATTTCTGCCAAATGCTTTAATCCAAAAACTAGAATATACTTTTTTCTTTTATATTTCTGGGAGTTATCAAGTTTATATTTTTGTCCTTTTTCACTCCAAACTGACAAGAGCTTTAGGGATTCTCTTATCTTTCAGGAGCATGAGCATGTCCCTACTTCCCAGCATGACCATATTTCTTATCCTTATGTCTTGTTTTCCACTGTTCAGTGGGATACTAGTTGTATATGAATACTGTTCCTTAAGTTTAATTACAATTATATTCATAAGATATTGGAAAAATCTATGTCATGGTTAACTCAAAAAAAAAAAAAAGACACAAGTTCAGAAGCTTTAGATACAACATCATTCAGGTTTTTTGTCCAAGTGTCAATGGCAGAGCACATGTAATTTGAGCAGCCACATCTATGTGAAAACAGCTTCATCTGATATAAGTTACAATGCATACTATTGCAAGTTATCTTTTTTATTCTGTTGAGGGTTTTCTTTTCCCAGAAGAAAGAGCTATTTTACAAGAGGCAGCTTACCAAGAAATGTACCTGAGATATTTGTAGTTGCTCTCCTGCATGGCATTGTGTCTGGAAGTCTAGCAATAGTTTAAACTAATGACTTATATGTACAAAAATCCTTGTTCAATCATAAAGCAGCCTTGGTTGTTTTGTTGGGTTGTTTTGGTTTTTTTTTCCCCCTTCTTTATAGGACGGTGCAGTTTGATCCACTGGAGTTTTCTTGAGTTCTGCTTCCAGCTGCTGTGGCAGATGTATTTCTTGGGCTTAGACAAATCCCTGTCATTCCACTTTCCTTTTCACTCACATTAAAAATGTGGGCTCCACTGAGTGCCTAAATCACTGAAGGAAACACCTGAGGCAAGGGCCCAGGCCAGTGATGAGGTTTGTAACTAACCAAAGTGAAATGGCAAACAAAACCCAACTTGTGCTATTCCTACCCCTAGGTTCTGTCAAGGAATTGCAGTAGCTCTGGAGGTGATGACTGGAAGCCCTGGAAGTGCAAAATAATTTTTTTTTCCCAAGGGTAAAGTATATGCACTGTTTTATACACAATTCTTCATACTGTGTTCCTTAAATGAAAAAGCATATACTGCTCTTTTACCTAAATAACTATATTCTGAATATGTTCATGTACTCTAGAAATATAAGTTAATTTTTTTCAGAAATAAAGTTTTACAATTAGATTTATGTAATTAAACTACAGCAAACACAATCCAGAGGAATGGTGATACATATTTTAACATCAAAGATTTGCAGATCTTTCACATTGACCTTCTCTTTAATTACTTTGTCCTTTGGTAATAAAGTTAGCAGGAACTTTTTATTGCAGGATATTTGTACAAGATTAAAAATATCCCCAGGAACTTATACACTGTCAAGAGTAAATGAATACTCTTGTGCTCTTGCTGGAGCTAGAAGCTTGGCAACTGAGTCAGACATTACCCTGTAAGGTTCCAACTTTCTGTAAAAGCCTTCAAATGAAAGTAGTATGCTTCAAGAGTGGTTCAGAGGATCTTTATTTCTAAACTTCAGTGAATCTCAGAGAAATGTAGATGATGTGGAGGTAATACATGCTTTGTATGTTTGCATCGTCACATCTCTTGCTTTCTCTGGCCAGAGAACATACAACACATAAACAATACTCTCCCCATTCCCACCCCCACTATGCATAAATGAAAGGTATATATAGCAATGAGAATAAATACAATGTTAAAATAAACTAAAATACATTGTTATGAGAAGAAATTAGGTGGGATTTCAATTTAATTTCCTTGAAGTATCTTTAATACTGGATGGTAGAATCCAGGAATATGTTACCTTGGTTGCCCAGTAAAGAGCCTGTCAGCTAGAACTGCCTTGCTTGCTTGAGATCTAAATATTTTAGGCATTACTCTCATACACATTCCTCATCCAAAACTTTACAGTGATGCAATTGTAGGTGGAGCACTTGCAAGGTCTGGTGTGAATAATTATAGTGAGGAATGGAGATGATCCATGTGACAGCAACCAATGAGACATCTCTTTAGTGTAGCATCCCCAAGAGCAGATAATTTCTCCATGGGAAATGACAGAAATGGTGTGTTGATAGTGCTAAGTGGAAGGGTACACATTGAAGGAACCCACCTGTAGTAGTGTGTTATTTGTTTTATTTTTTGTTTTATTGTTATGCTTACTGTTTCATTTGTAATTTTGTAATTTTCTTATGCTGTACTTTTTGTTCCTGCCTTTTCCCCAGAACTTTCCTCACTCCTCCTTTCATTAAATGCCAGTTTCTCCTCAAACCTGCTTTCCCTTGAGAAACTTCCTTGTCAGTTTTGTATTTCTCCAAACTCTATTAGTTCACTGAAACTCTTCTCCTCCCTTGAAATTCTTTATTGGTTTATACATTGTATTCCCCGCCTTGTTTTTTACTCCCAGTTCTCCTGATTAGTTAAAGATTGTATCCTCCCTTAAGACCTGTCCCTGTATGTAAGCTACAGTCTACAGTTCGGGGTCCTGGGACTCTGAAGAGGGGAAGTTTTGCCATCAAAAAAAAGTTACCACAGGACCAGTGGTGCTGCTCTTCTGTTTCCATGCTGCACTGTCACTGGTAGCTAGGATTCAGCAGGGCTCAAAGCGAGGTCTGTCACCTTCCCTGTCACCATCCAGCCGGGACAAGCGACACCCGCCCTGTTCACCCACCTGGGGGCAGTGAGCAAAAGAATTTGGACATCTCTCGACAAGCAGTTTGGATTCATAACATCAAGCAAAGTCACCTTAAACAAGAGCTACCAGTTTATGGGCTGAGCTACCCAGGGAAAGTGAGATTATTTTTCTCCCAGATGTATGCTATAATCTCTTACTTTCTACTCATCAGTTTCTAGAACTCACTAAAATATGATGAGAGAATATGATGGAGTTGAAGGGTGGAAGTGTGGGTCCAGTTCTCAAATTGAGAACATCTTCAGCTTCACAGCTTTACTTTGGCTGCTGTTGTCATGGCCTATAAAGAAAAGACTGCATGTTATTTATTCTGCAGTGTTCCTTTTTCATGTGTTGGACAAGCTACCAGAGAGAGAAAAAAAATTTCTTTTGGTAATTGCTTGGACTAAGGCCCTAGAAACGTGAATTGTGTTTGTGGTTTTTTTGTGGCAGTGGGCATGCCCATGTCACAAGGCACAAATGAGTGGGCTGTACCTAGTTTTAGCAGTGATTTTTCTGTCATTTCTGCACTTCTTAGTATTTAACTGTAAACAGCAGTATCCTTTAAATGTGTTATATATAACACTGTCCATAGTTTCAAGGAATAGATGGAGTGTTTTTTTCTAGGCTTTATTTTTTGTGTCCAATTTTCTGTCACTAATTAATGAGATTTAAATTTTGCATCTAAAAGAAAATGAGGAAATCTAAAAAACTGCTTAATCAGCTTGCTCTTTTTCTAGGACATTATGATAAGCAATAGCAATTTCTGAGAAAAACCTGTAATATTAAATACTACACAAGCTTGGAAAATATAGTTCATGTTGAGAATACTGCTGTCTTCATTATATGGGATACATAGCTGGTTTTTTTGGTAAAAAATCTGCAGTGCCCTGACATTGTATTAATGCAATTATTTATTATGAGATTTGCTTAAGATATTGAAGTTTAACATTCTTTAGAAATGTTAAACAATAGATACAAGGTGGTTGATATTGCTGTTTAATTTTTTAAAGCACAGGAATACAGAAGGACAATATTGTGTTTAATACATCAACCTGCAACACAGGAAACTGGAGCTGAACTTTAGTGTTAGTTATTGTCTCTGTATTGAATTCTTCCTCTGAAACAGCATGGCTGACAGTACTGCCTTTCCTCAGCCCTTCTCATTCTTACACCCTTTCTAATTGCAAGTTCTCAAGAAAGGAAATAGCTCCTTGCTGTTTGTGTGAAAATTATATAGTTTGTAATAAAGCTCTGATCTAGCCTGGTCCTGTTGACACTAGTATATCACAAGAAATGTAATAGTCTTGCTATTATTTGTCTGAGTTTAGTATTCAGAGTGTTAACAGTGATTGTGTCTACTGCACCATTACCTGCAAAACCCTGGTCCTTTCTCTGAGGTCTTCCTATAGGTCTTGGCAGGAACTTCTTCCATTTGCCAGGTCTGATGGACTGACCCAGAATTTAGGCTGCAATGACAGATGTAGGGCAAGCACTGCCTATGCTGCTTTGGTACCACCACAGTATAACCTGTAAAAATTTAACTCAGATTAATTTTCACTTTTTTGGTGTGCTTTTTGGTACTTGAATTAGCTAGTCTATATCTGTTTCAGGGTCTAAGAAGTTCTGAACTGAGTCCCAGAAAAGTCAGGGATTATTGCAAGAGGTATTTCTGAACCAAGATGGGAATAGAAATCAGAGAATAGTGGTAAAGTATACAGTTCAGAATAATTCCACAAGGGCAATCAAAGCAAACTTTTTTTATCTGAAAATTGCTTTAGGGATGGTAAAATATTATAAAGCTGATGGTTTGACCTTAGTGCAGTGAAAGTCTTATATGCAGTTTTAAGGAACAAGAACTTTCCAAGAAATGTGGTCTGACTGAAGGCACACTCTCTCCTGTGAATTGATACCACATTAGCTCATGGAATGTAACACATCTCAGCTGAGATAACAGCGTGCTTTCAGAATATTTCTCATGCAGGGAATGAGTCAAAGGTTCTTTAAGTCAATGGCATTTTCCCTTTCTAAAAGTATGCATTATTAAATCAGTAAAACTGAATTCATGGGCAGACCTAAGTGAAACAGTAAGCATAAATTGACATTAAATCTATGGTTCTTACCCTTGGTAAATTGCAAAGTTCTTAATTCTAACTTCATATTGCTTCTTCCTGAATAATAGTATTCTAAGCAATTTATTTATAGATTTTAACACTGGAACCTCTTGATATGAAACACTAACTTCTATTGGGTGAACTGATAAATCAAAATTGCCACAGACAAATGGATTGTATGAAATTACCCAAGTTACTAGGGGGAAAAATTTGCTCTATGTGGGTCAAGGGTGCATTTGCAAGGAGAAAAGCAGGCAAAAAGTGGTGCATAACTACCCAAAGAAACCTTTTCCTTCCCATTTAACCAGGTCATGGCTGCTGTGAGTCACAGACAGTAGAGCTATGTGAGTTACTTGGTGTTCTTCAAGGGTTTCTTTGGTGCACAGATTTGTTCCACATCTATACTAAAGGAACCACAAGGTACACTCTGAGGTGCAGCACTGAAGTGCTCAAAACACATTCCTTTCTCAGGGGTTCAAGGCCAAAATAGCTCCCTGAGGAGGAATGAATAAAACAGCAGGAATGTTCAAGTGAATCTTCAGGTAGTAGAAAAGAAGTTTCTGTCTCTTTTTCTGCCTCAATAAGATGTTCTTCTTAAGGATAGCCATTCACATTTATTTCCTTAGTTTGAGCTTTCTCACTATGCTCGATTCCCTAATTAGCTGAACTATATCAAGTAGAAGTTCAGAGGGGAACTACCAAGTGGAATCATTAAAGTTTTTTTAGAACTTTTTTCACAAGATTAAAAAAAAAAGTTTGAGAAAACACTAACTTTGGTTCAAAGCATAGATAATGTATTTAAGGGCTGTAGAATAATTTATACTTGCTGCAGAAGACTGGACTGAAAGAAATATAAAAAAATCAATATTGGTAAAAAATAAAACTTCAAAGGAAATGTGAAAACTCTGTAATAGTTACTTTGGTTTTGCAGCATTCACAATGTAAATAGGAAGAAATTTTCTCTGCATGAACCTGGGACTTTAAAGAAAAACCCAACTAAAAGCACTAGTAAAAACCTGACTATAGCGACTAGTAAAAACTGGTTTCAGAATTTTTTTTCTCTCAAAATCATGTTTATGAAGAAAGAAAGGAATATTTTAAAGTGAAGGAAGGTTTTGATTTTAATAATTAAATTTACCTTCTTCCATATTTCATAAGCAAACCCCCAGGTATTCTTTCACAGATCATGACTTTCGTGTTGTGGAAAAAAATCATGCCAATACTTTTT